CGACATCCTTATAAAGTCAAACTTTTGCAGGAATTAGACGAAGATGATCCCGATAGAAGAATCCAATTTTGCGAAAAAAATGATGGATAAATGTCACCGAGACCCTCTCTTGATACAAAACATTATTTTTTCTGATGAGGCCACTTTCACGTTAAATGGCGAGGTTAACCGTCAGAATTATAGATACTGGGCAAAAGAAAACCCCCACTGGATGCGTGAGCATCATACACAATACCCGCAGAAGGTAAATGTATGGGCTGGAATTGTAAGAAATCGAATCATCGGACCCTACTTTATCGAAGGTAATTTAAACGGGGCAACGTACCTTGAGTTTTTAAGGGGGTATCTCGTACCTACTTTACGTAATTTGTTTCCCAGCAGACGTAATCCTGGAGGTTGTAATGAAAATTTATGGTTTCAACAGGATGGTGCACCTCCACATTATGCTGTAGATGTTAGAAGATACCTGGATGAAATTTTTCCGAACAGGTGGATTGGTAGACGTGGACCATTAGAATGGCCAGCGAGGTCACCAGATTTCAATCCTTTGGATTATTTTATGTGGGGCCATCTGAAGAATGTTGTGTATCAAACGAAACCAGCAAATATTCAAGAATTAAAAGATAGAATTCGGACAACAATAAACAATATTTCTCAAGACACAATAAAGAAGATTCAACAAGAATTTGTACACCGTTTGAGTTACTGTCAAATACAGCAAGGGCTGCAGTTCAAACATTTATAAAGTCATATATTTCATCATATTCTGTCCGCTAAACAATAAGTATTTTTGATAATATTGTTAATTTAACTAATAAAGAATGTTACGCGTATGAGCATACACAAAACTATTGTATTTTTGCCCACCCTGTACCAATTGGAATCAACATGTGATACATCTTTGGAATCAACTCAGCTAGAGTAATCTGAAAATTGAGACAAAATGGGGGTGTTCCATTTAAAAAAAATTACGGTGACGTCATTACTCGAAAGAAATTAAATTATTATTTTAAAATACGGTAAATTAAAATCAAAAATCCACGTGTTTCAGGATTATTTCTTAAAATGGTCTGTTTAGCTAAAAATGAATTTGTTCCATACTTTACGGACACACTGTATGAAGTAGAAGTATTATCCTCAGTAGTCACCATGTACAAAATTATATCGCCAGGCCAATGTTTTGGATGACGATCTTTTAGGCCTAGGGAATACCTTCTCTTACTCTCAAGTATTGAAGTATTGAACATCATTCATTTGTTTTTCAATTGAATTTTCTTCTTGATGAGCTACCTTAGGTTATATAATCAGATATTGACCTGTTAATGATACATCTTTGTGAATTTGAAGACAATTTATTGATTGTGACGGTTCCACATTTTAAGAGATAATTTCTATGGAAGAAGGTATTTCTGCTTGCTATTGGATGTATTAATTGCTTTCTTTTCTTCCATAAAAACTACATCTCTGGCAACTAATATTTTTCTAGAATCAATCAAATGATAATCTTTAGTATTGGTTATATTTGTGGTACGATTTTTGCGCCAGCAAATGGGGTTTTTACATATTAAAGGCAATGTACTATAAAAGAATGAAACTTACCTGATAAATTATATTCCTAACTACCGCTTCTGGAAAAGGCACTCTTCGGTCTTTGATGAGCTGATACAGATTTTCTTGCATGTATTCAAAAACGAAATACAATATGTCATTTTCTCTGATGACTTCTTTGAGTTTCACTACGTTAGAATGGTGTAGTTTTTTCAGTGACTAAAACAAATAAATATTTCAGTAATTCATTAACAAAAAAAAACAAATATAGTTATCCTATAGGAACAGATATCAAGCAAAAACTTTGCGATTACATCGCGTCTTTTAAACAAAAGTGACACTATATAAAAAATCCATTTTAAGTCCATTTTTTGAATTGTTATTTAACTTTTTACCTTTCTGATTAACAAATAATAAGTAATTTAATTAATAAGAAAAGCATTGCTGTGAGTAGTATTTTAATAACAAACTGCCCAGACAGCACACCAAATCCTTTGGATATCTACTGCACATCCCAATATCCACTGAATGTCCAGTCCATGGTGGATATCTATTTTATATCCATGATATGTAATTTATAGACATGCAAATTTCCATAAATAATAGTAATTATATAGCAAATTATTTAAAAAATACGCCATTGTGCTTGCCATTGTGGCTCAGATATTTCAAATTAATTTTTTAAGATGTATTCAATATCCCATGGACATCCACTAAATATATCAAAATCTAGGCGCGAACGCAAACCATCGTGGATATCCACTAGATGTTATTTGATTTTGCTTTTTGCTTTTGCCGTAATTGAGTTCGAACGAAATTTGTGTTCTAATCAGACTCCATTAGAGACTGTAGTCGAGAATTTCCATTTATTGCTGAAGAGTCCTAGTAAGGATGACTTTCTCCTTAGTGGACAAAATCAAAGGCAGAGTGTTGAAAATATTTTGAGTGTTGAAGATATTTTTTACCTCTGCTATTTTCCTTCGACGTTATTCAATAATCATTGGTTACTTATGAATCTCTACTAAAGACAAAATATGTTGCTGAATATCCGAATATCTTCTATATCCTGGGATATAGACGGACATTTGGTTCTATATCCATATTAGATATATTGAATATCCACAAAATATATTCTGTGGATATCTCTGGGATTTGGTGTGTTGTCTGGGTTTGTAGGGCAAAATATTGTTAAAAGTTAAAAGTTCTCTCCTGTAAATTGTTAATATTTGTACTGTCACTTTTGTTTTCAAGGTGCGGCTTGAATTATGGAGCGATTGTTTATCGAAGAATGTATATTTGAATAATTTAAAAATTCTGAAACAAATCTCAAAAATCCTACTACGAATTATTAAGACCATCCCCGAACCCCAAAGTTGAAAACAAATACTTGGAGATTTGAAAAAAAGCCTACCACAACCGGAGATCAAACTCAAACATCCTTGACTGTCGAGATTCGTAGACAGAAGTTTGATATGCTAGTTCGGGCCAGACGGCGTTCAGGCTTGTTCTGAACTCTTCAAATACCTCTCTACAGCATCGGTGTATATTATGTGGTTTCAACAGAACGGTGCAACTTGTCACACAGTTGATGAAAAACTGAATATTTTAAGAGATATTTCGTTTTGGGCATTTTTTAAGGACAAACTAGAACAATCCTCAAACAACTGGACAGCTTGGAGTTAACATTACTCATATAATTGGAGTAATAATGGGACGGAATGTCTGCAAACTGTTGTAAAAAGAATGTTCATGCCAAAAAAGCAGAGAAACTTACTTGTCGGATAATTTTTTATTATTAACCGCAACATTTTCATTCAAAAAAAAAAATATATATATATAAAAGAAATTTATAGAGTTTTGTGTCTTTTATAATCTATATATAAATAGGCAAAGACAAAATGGTTCAGTACCATTTTCTCTTCTGTTTGTGAACCGATTTTCTATTTAGTTTTTTTTCCAACCTTTGATATATGAAATCCATTGATATGAATTATGATTGACTAATAAAATTAGCCTATTGCGAACATGAGCAGTGAGCAACTTTTAATTTCGAACCAACATGGACAATATTACGTGGACTGATAGAGGATCCTGAAAAACAAAAAAAAATTACTTCTACCCCCACTTCTCCAACTTCACCTCTTCTTCCTCTGCCACACCTGAATGGTAAGGGATAGAAAACATCAAATAGCAGAGCCGTACGCTCCGTCTGAAACAATTTCGGGTACGATGGATTGGACATAAGTTGTCGGAATTTGACATCCATAAGTTTAACGGTAATTGAACTGTAAGTTTTTGAAAAGAGTACGTTAGATAAAATTGAGTTTGTTAAGTATTTATTTTTGAAATGATTATCGGGTATAGACAGTTTTGCTGATGTGGCAGAAACTTTAGATAATCAGTGTCTTCTTTATATGTCACTTATAAAAATTAGGTTCCAGAATTTAAGAGAGGAATATCACAGCGTTGCTCGTATTGGAATCACATATAGCACTATTAAAGAGAAAAAAGCTTCTCCTGTAAAATGTCAATATAAGAATAATTTTTGTAAATCCTTAAATAGGGAATAATTATTACGAAAAAAGTGATCTTTTAAGATTCCTTCAATAATATCCTTCCATTTTAACATTTTCCAAATTTCCTGATACTTGTTTTTCTTTTCAGCGAATATCCGCAAAAAAATTAAATCGTCGCGTATATCATGACTTAATCGGTAGCAAGATATCAATATAGTTTGAGCTCATGTTCATTTCACCTATGACAATAAAGACGTTTGATTTTAGAATGTATGTGTCCTTTGATGTTCAATGTAGATCATCTAACGTATTAACGGGTTAATATAGAATTGAATATGATACGATGTTCATTAATGTCGTCAGGAATAGATTTTCCGAACGCGATTTTATCAGAAAAATACAAGGGAAATAATGGATATTATGGAAAAAGGAAATACTGTATCAAGTAATGGGACGGAGAGTAAAGGAGGAGTGAGCAGTCTCAAATGGTGTCTTTTTTTGCAAACAAATTGTTGGAAAATATCTTAATCTTTTTCTGGATTTGCAATTCATTTTTATTTCTATCGAAAGTTCTTACACCCATTAGTGCAAGGACCTCTCATAAAAAAATATTTTAAATAAGTTACAGGTTTTTTAATTGTATACTAGCGGACCCCACAGACGTTGTCCTGTCTTAACTATGAATATTGATTTCGAGTTGGTATAATTAACTACAAAAATATTTCAGAAATAAAGTGTTTATTATTCTAATGCTTTATGATATACATTTGTTTTTTCTTCCGGCGCATATATAAATAGTTTTGTTGGTATTCCGACACGGGAACAGGCGACATATATTTGGCCATGTGAAAAACATGGATTTTCAAGATTAATGCCACAAAGAATTAGCGACTGCCCTTGAGATTTATTTATCGACATTGCAAATGCTAGCCGCACGGGAAATTTTAACCGTTTAAAGTCGAATGGCATGTCGTTCGGAATCAAAGGAATCCGTGGAATCAAAACGTCTTCGCCTTTGTACTTCCCTTTCAAAATTGTGGCTTCGATGACGTTGTTCATTAATTTCTTCACCGCAAGTCGGGTGCCATTACAAAGACGTGGCTGGTTTATATTCCGCAACATAATGATTACCGATCCGATCTTTAGTTGCAGATTATGAGGTGGTAATCCGGGCAATTCCAGCGAATTTAAGAACTCCGTTGGATAGTTGACAACATCATCTTGGTTAGTAACGGAATCAATCGATTTGTATATCATTAATTCGCCAGCTATCTTATTTTGAATATGGAAATTGATTTCGTTGACATCAACGTTTTTTGCAGCTAATACTTTCGCTTAACCATACATGATTTTTGCAATTTTGAACAATGTTTGGGAAAACCTTCTCGATGAGTTGTGTCTTTGTTTTAGTAAAGTGACAAAAATTGGTAGGAAATGTGATGTATCCAGACGATGAGTCAACAGGTATTTTGCCATTACCAATACCGAGCAATTGTTTGGAAAAATATTCTCCAAATTGCTCATTCTGCAATTCGACTCGCATGTTTATATTTAATTTAAGCGTTTTAACGTCTTTCCATAAAATGAATGACTTTGAACATGCGTTAAGTTCGTCGGCTGGCGTTGATCGTGGTATTACTGGTAGTGTTTGGCGAAAATCACATGCTAATAAAATCATTGCACCACCAAACCAGTTTTGGTTCATTCGGAAATCTTGCAACGTGCGGTCTAATGTTTCCAATGGTTTTTTGTGTGCCATCGTGCACTGATCCCAAACTATTAATTTGCTTTGTTGCAACACTTTGGCCATCGCAGAATTTCTCGAAAGTTTGCAAGTTGGTGTTTGATTTATTTGCATGTTCAACGGCAACTTGAGTGCGGAATGAGTTGTTCGACCGCCTTCCAACAACGTAGCTGCAATACCTGACGAAGCAAGTGCAAGTGCGATACCATTTTGCGATCGAATCGTTGCCAAAATCAATGAAATCAAAAACATTTTCCCAGTCCCACCGAGAGCATCTAAGAAAAAAATTCCGCCAGTTCCATCGTTCACTACTTTCATTAGCGTATCGTAGACATATTTTTGTTGCTCATTTAAAATGGGAACGTTTCTTTTAATGCTTCTGAATCATATTGCGTTTCGCGTATCAACTCTTGATTAAATGTGTCGTGCATTTGGCGATTGGGCGTTGTCATTCCTAATTGTATTAATCCTTTGTTGGTAAGCATCAAGCACATGTCTTCAATTAAAATTAATGCTTCATTGTACATTTCTCCATTTATTTGCAAATTATCATTTGATGTTCTAACACGCTCCTGATGTAATATATCTTCGGCCATGTGATCTTTATATTTGTTCCATAAATCAATCGGTGTTGATGGGAAGTATGTAGACAAAAGTATGGCAAACAATGTTCGTAATTATTTTATGTGTATTTCATTAATATAATAACTCCGATTGAAGCATCTGTTTTAAACGATATTAATTTTTTTTAAATCCTCTTTGACGATATTTGCAGCACGCATTCTGTCAATGTTATTTCAAACGCCATAAGGTTACATCCAAAAAGTTTGAATTGTAAAAGCGCTATGGTTACATTAGAAATAATTTAATATGGTGGTTAAGTATTCTTAAATTTTCTAATTTTCCGCGCAATTTTCTGAATTTTTTCTTTCATAAGAACCTTCTCATGACAATAACAAACACAACAAAAAAAAAGAATTAGCGAAATCGGTCCAGCCGTTCACGCGTGTTGCCGTGACCAAGGGAAATAGGGATTCATTTATATATATATATATATATATATATACAGATTTATAAAATACTTTAAAATATACAAGGTATTCAGTTACATAGTTTTGGCTCTTGCTTACTCGTCTACACAATATTTTCTTTTTCAATCCAAAATTACAGCTAAGCACTATAAACAAACTGTACAAGAAACATAACTATAGCTTATGTTTTAAAGTCACTATTCTTAATCAGATTTGTGTTTTAGATTCCATTGCTGCTTTATTAGAAACATTATAATAATGCTGACAACCGAAATTAACAACGCTGTCTCTTCTTTTTTCAGCTGTTGTGATAATTCTGTAAATCACCAGGACAAGTCGGCAACTATTTTTATGCTACACTAACATCAATAGTATCGATTACAATTATTATTTGACTTCAGAATATCTGGTATAAATTATGACCTACCTTTCTATTATATTTATAATTATTTTGTGAAGACAGAAAAATGTTGTTCACTCATCTTTTACATAATAAAATTATTACAGCTGTGTGGCCTGGCCACTGGTTTAAATTAAGTAATAGGTATGACACAAAAATATATTTGCCAAAAGCCTGAAGGGGTCACTCCCCTCGCCCCATGATTTAGGTATTAAAAGTAAAAGCAAATCAGTCAGAAAAAAATATTTTATATCAAAAATAATTTATAATGCAATGTAATCTTAAACACTTATTCTAGAATCCATAATTTGGGAACTTGATTCAAGATCTGGCACATTGCAGTGTAGCCTTTGGCGTCAAATTTTTCATTGTCAAATATTACGTATTCATCAGCAGTAACTCCATTACCTGTTGATGTACCTTCCACCTAAAATATTAATGTTATTTTAATGCTAATTAATGTTGTAATAGTAAACTTTAATAAATATACTCATAAATGCACCTAATTGACTTAATATTTGTATTTGCAAAACGAGAGAAAAATTCAATTCATTTTATATTGTTTTATCCATTGTAATCTATATTGTAAATGTTAAGAAGCCAACTATTTTTAAAACATCTTATATTTGAAGTTTTATAGTGACTAGGTAACAAGCGTTTTCTAATATTCAACAAAATGATGGACTCATGATAGATCGGGCGTTTTCTAATATTCAACAAAATGATGTACTGATGATGGATCACGTGACCAATAAATAGCCGACTGCTGCAATCCTGATTTTTATCTGATGAAAATTATTTAAGAACGACTGACATTTGTGATTTTGTAATCTTAACTGTCAAACTGTCTTTTTTTAATAAAAACAAACAATTCAAATACTTTTTGATAAGCATAAAAAATAAACACAAGTATGGACAATACAATAATCAAAAAAATATGTACTTGCCTTCATATGCTTGCTGTATATTTAACGCTGACAATCTTATTTTAAAATTTAGCCAACTTAGAGGTTGGTTTAATAAAACCCAGTTAGTTTCTTTATTCATATTATTAAGAATTTTGAGAGAACTTTTTCTATTTCCTTATCTGTTTAATATTAATTAATAATTTAAAGTTATGTCACGTAATCCATCAGTGCATCACTTAGATAAAAGAGACCGAAGATATAACATTGCACACTGCGCATGTTGTCTGTTTTAACCCCAAGTAATCCCACCAATTGAAAATCATTGTTTGCACGACGCCACCCAAATTGCTCCTATTTTCCCATTCAACGCTCACCTCCGCCTGAGTTCAATCACCATTGACAGCTGTTTTTTGATTTATTTGTTGGTGTTTTAGCAATTTAAAGTGTTCTAGTTATTTAATTTTAAGCTCAGAATGTCACGATGTATCTTGAAATTTTGTATATACTTATAATACAAGTACCAATGTTATAAAAAATATATTCGTTTTCAGCGGTAAATATTTATTAACGTTTTGACAAAAAGCGCCATGATCCTTTGGGCTAAATACTTCAGATCCGCATTAAGGGGTTTCAATAAATATTAAGCATCAAATACATATTTCAGAAAACAGATTTCATATTACTTATTAAAATTTACAAAAGGGTAAAATTTTAAATATTTAATTTAAATACGAAGTAAATAGGCATGGTTGCTAACGAAATTTTGTTTTTAAAAAGTATTTTTAAAAGAATATTTACTAAAGGTGGTTTTTAGCTCTTTTTGGTAGATAAATAAGAAGTAAAGAAGCATAGTTGATTAGTAGTATTTTTATAAGAATATTAGATAAAATACAGGATGAATAACTTAAAATTTCAAGATAATGTAATAATCGATTTTAAAGGAAATACAAAAAGAAAGTAGATTTATTCAAAATAATCGATTAATTAAAAATAATCTCTTTTTTTGGAAAAATCGATTTATCGTTTATTCGTATTTTTTAATAAATCGATTATTTTCGAATTTTCAAAGGTATTATATGAAAATAATCGATTTATCGAATATAATCGGTTATTTTACATAACCAATATTTCGGTTATTTTTTAGAAATATCGATTTTTCAGTTAATCAGCTTTTTAATAATTAATAATTATTTTCGATTTATCGATTTTTATCGATTATTTTCGATTTTTCAAAGATAATAGAATAATCAATTTTAAAGGAAATATGAAAAGGATTATTAGAAAATAATCGGTAATTCGGTTATTTTTTTGGAAAATAGATTTATCGTAGAATCGGCTTCTTAATTAATCGATTATTTTCGGCATTTCAATGATAATCGAATTATCGATTTTAAATGAAATACAATAAAAATAAATCATTGATAATAATCGATTGATCGAAAATAATCGATTATTTAAAATAATCGATAATTCGTTTTTTTAATCGATTTATCAGTTAATCGACTTTTTAATTAATCGATTATTTTTGATTAATCGATTATTTTCGATTTTTCAAAGATTATCGAATAATCTGTTTCAATGGACGAAAAAAAAATGGATTATTTGAAAATAATCGATTATTTAAAATAAACGATAATTTTTTTAATATTTTTTGTAAACACTGATTTATCGGTTAATTGGCTTTTAAATTAATCGATTATTTTTGATTTTTCAAATATAATCAAGTAGTCAGTCTATTTTAAAGGAAATACAAAAAACAAATGGATTGAAAATAATGGATTGATCGAAAATAATCGATTATTTTCAATGATCGATCATTTATTTCGATAATCACCCACCCCTAGCGACCAAATGACTTTTAATAGGTTTAAATTTTAAAATGTTATCTGGTTTCAGACATATGCATTTCTAGAGTTTTATGTGACTCGTCCTCTATATTAATTAATATTCCTAAAGAAAGAAGCTGAGGTTACAATACAAAACAGCATTTTCTCATTTTGACTAATTTTTAATATTATGCAATAGCCGTAGAAAAAATATAATGTTCAACTCAAAAGGTTTGATTTGCAGTATTCGCCTGCGCACATGCTTTTTTATAATACTCGTAGACAATGAGTACCATTTCTTGTTCTATTAACAATATTCTATTTCAACATTTTACTATAATCTCTTGCTGAAAAGTCCGTAGTAAATAAACGCTAATGAAATATTCTATAAAAGGTCTTCTCTTTACATAAAATGTCGTACATCTGTTTGATATTAAAAAATCACGTTATGATGCTAATAAACAAAGTCCAGTTCCTGTCACAGAGTTCGTGTCTCTGCCCAGTTCCCCCACTCTGTTAACCTTTCTTTAGAAATTGGCAACATTTGTGCAGGTTAAACACCAGTGTATGTTATATCTCTGGTCTCTTTTATCTAAGGTGCATCAACATAATTGATTCAATGTATTTGGTCACAACCATCTGAGAATTAGATTGAATTTAAGAATTTGATGTATGTATGACTCATCTAACAATTTTTGATGGATAAGAGAACAATTTTGATGATTGCTAGATGGCATGTATGAATATTAGAAAAGCCTATCATGTGACCAATAAATGGCCAACTGGTGCTATCCTGATTTTTATCTGATGACAATTAGGCATTCCAGCGACCTGTCAAACAATAGGTGCCAGTGGGAAATTCTTGTATATCTAAGGGGGAAGCGACATAGTCTTGCAACTTGGACGCTATTTTTATTCAAAGTAGTAGTCGCCAAACCTGCCAATTTATGAAGAAATGTATAGGTGGGTTTTTTAAATATTATTTTTATTGTGTTTGACATAAAATATTTAAATGTAATCCATTATTCATGATTTTACGTAAAGTAGATAGAATACACCATATGTCACCACCCTTAGATATACCAAACCTGCCCACTGGTAATTCATTTGTTTGGAATGCCTAATTATTAAAGAATGACAGACATTTGTGATTTTGTAATCTTAACTGTCAAATTGTCTTTATTTAATAAAAACAAATAAATCTAAGCACTTTTTGATAAACATAAAAACTAAAAACAAGTATGGGTAATACAATAATTGAAAAAATATGCACTTGCCTTCATTTGCTTGGTGTATATCTAAATATACTGACAATCTTATTTTAAAAGTAAGCCCACTTAGAGATTGGGTGAGTGAGTGAGTTTTTTCACTCATATCAAGAATTTTGGGAGAACTTCCTATTTTATTATCTGTTTATTAATAATTTAAGGGTATGTCAGGTGATCCATCAGTGCATCAACACAATCGAGTAAATGGATTTGGTGACAACCATCTAAGAATTAGGTTGAATTTAAAAATATGATATATGACTCATCTAAAATTTTTTTATGGATAAAAGAACGCTTTTGATGACAGCTAGAAGGCATCGATAAATATTAGAAAACGCTTAGAAGATGATGTGGTGGGGTATAATTTAAACAAAAGGCTCCTATGAGTTATGTTTCTATTTTACTACCCTCGATAATGATTTATAAGGTGAAGGAATATATCAATCACCTTTTTTTGAAAAAAGGTTTAACCACAGCACATTTAATTTGTGTTGAATTACCTATATCATTTATAAGAAAACATCAGAGTTGTTGGCTATTTGTACCTTCCATTCCAAATATTATACAAATTGTTCCAATTATAACTGGCTAAACAATTTTTCTTGAGTTATTTTACTTTATACAATAAAATGTTTTACTATAATCTCTTTTTTCTACATAAGATTAGCCAATAAAGCTATAATAAAAAAATTCTATATTCGTCAAAAGTCAAACCTACATAATTTTTTCAATTAATATGAGCACGAGTTAAACAAATTCTTAAAAACTTCCTGTAAAACGTACCTCAACATAACCTTCTAGTGGTTGATCAATTGGTCTTTTCATACTGATTTTAACAATTTGGTTGTCTGGAGTCCTTATTTCAAACCATAGACCATTTGGAGCTTTTTGTGTAACAAATCCCGTAAGGGAAACTTTTTTGTTTATGAACAAGGGGAGTTGATCACCGTTCACTTTTTCTCTTAACATTTTTATCAAATAATAAGTATTTTTTTAGCGGGTAATATTCTTCTATCTTGCTTATAAATAAAAACTTATAACATACCTGCCTGTCAAAATTCAAAATTGACAGGGTCAATATTATATGTTATATAGATTGCTCAAAGCGAGTTTCATAGCGAGTGGCCATCTTGCCTTGAAAGTGTTCATTAATCAGAATAATCGGTTTAGCAAAAATGTGTTTTAAAACCACATTTCAGCCTTTGAATATAGAAAAAAAAAAATTACATTTTTACTTTCCTATCTGTATACAGATAAGGAAAGTATAGGAATCATGATTTTTACGACTTCCAGTTTTCGACGGATTTTTACGTTTTGGGGTCCCCTGAATCCGTTTTGACTATTTTCGGGATGATGTCTCTCTCTGTGTATGTGTGTGTGTGTGTGTGTGTGTGTGTGTGTGTGTGTGTGTGTGTGTGTGTGTGTGTGTGTGTGTGTGTGTGTGTGTGTGGTGTGTGTGTGTGTGTGTGTGTGTGTGTGTGTGTGTGTGTGTGTGTGTGTGTGTGTGTGTGTGTGTGTGTGTGTGTGTGTGTGTGTGTGTGTGTGTGTGTGTGTGTGTGTGTGTGTGTGTGTGTGTGTGTGTGTGTGTGTGTGTGTGTGTGTGTGTGTGTGTGTGTGTGTGTGTGTGTGTGTGTGTGTGTGTGTGTGTGTGTGTGTGTGTGTGTGTGTGTGTGTGTGTGTGTGTGTGTGTGTGTGTGTGTGTGTGTGTGTGTGTGTGTGTGTGTGTGTGTGTGTGTGTGTGTGTGTGTGTGTGTGTGTGTGTGTGTGTGTGTGTGTGTGTGTGTGTGTGTGTGTGTGTGTGTGTGTGTGTGTGTGTGTGTGTGTGTGTGTGTGTGTGTGTGTGTGTGTGTGTGTGTGTGTGTGTGTGTGTGTGTGTGTGTGTGTGTGTGTGTGTGTGTGTGTGTGTGTGTGTGTGTGTGTGTGTGTGTGTGTGTGTGTGTGTGTGTGTGTGTGTGTGTGTGTGTGTGTGTGTGTGTGTGTGTGTGTGTGTGTGTGTGTGTGTGTGTGTGTGTGTGTGTGTGTGTGTGTGTGTGTGTGTGTGTGTGTGTGTGTGTGTGTGTGTGTGTGTGTGTGTGTGTGTGTGTGTGTGTGTGTGTGTGTGTGTGTGTGTGTGTGTGTGTGTGTGTGTGTGTGTGTGTGTGTGTGTGTGTGTGTGTGTGTGTGTGTGTGTGTGTGTGTGTGTGTGTGTGTGTGTGTGTGTGTGTGTGTGTGTGTGTGTGTGTGTGTGTGTGTGTGTGTGTGTGTGTGTGTGTGTGTGTGTGTGTGTGTGTGTGTGTGTGTGTGTGTGTGTGTGTGTGTGTGTGTGTGTGTGTGTGTGTGTGTGTGTGTGTGTGTGTGTGTGTGTGTGTGTGTGTGTGTGTGTGTGTGTGTGTGTGTGTGTGTGTGTGTGTGTGTCCATCATAACTCATAAACCGATAATTTTAAACTTAAGCTTATTTATTCCGGCGGTCAATGAACTGATTAGATTTTGGGCAGAGTCGGAACATCTGGGAGGGTACTTTATAGGTGGTTATTTTTATATTTTATGGAATATATCTCTTATTTACGTTTAAAGAAGAAAACTCTCCAACTAAAATGTAAAAAAATATTTTTTTATAAAAATTATTCAAATAAAAGTTGTTGATAATATAATTCTCTATAATTTTTTTTCTTCTACAAAATTTCTCTAAAATGGACCGTATTCGAGATATTTGAGAAAATGTGTAGTACGCCCGTGAGAAACGGGACGTAGAATCCCAGTATAAAGAACAATACAGTAGCGACAGATTGCGTCGGCTTCTTTGATGTCGGGGTGGTCAGATTTTCAATGACAGTTGACGTTTTTGTCGCTTATTTCTACACGGAGAAAAGTAAACTCTAAAATTGCAAATTAGCGATGTACAATTAGAAAAAAATTAAAACATGTACATATAACATTTTAATGTATTCTAGGCAAATAAATTAATCAAAATATTGTGTAACTTAAATAAATGAGTTCCGGTGAAAATATAGATGTGCCAATTTTAAAATTTTATCATTAGAATAAAATAAATTACTTTTGTATGCCATTCATTGTATGAAATGTGTCAAACAGTTTTTGGTTTCTTCCTGGAACTAATAAATTAACTCGGCACCTTATTTTTTTATCTAAAATGAGGTTATGTAGGTATCTTTTTAGAAGTGAAACAACATATAACAATAATATTTATTAAAACACACAATTACAAATTAGTAAGTTTTTAATGAATTTACAATACAAGAATTATTTTATTTCAATTTTTGTTCCTACGTACAAATTTTTGACTTCAGATGAGTTTTAGCAAATGCCTGTTGTAAGTCACCCGTTAAGCAAAATGCTGCCCAATTGCTTATATTACCTATGTATATAATTAAATACTATTAACGTCACATCATAAAAATTAGATGTTTATATTTAACGATTTTATGGTTTAAAATTTGTATGGGAATGGTTATCTGCTGCGGGATTTAAATATTTAATGGCTAGAAGAATCAACAGTGACTGTCTAGAAAAATTTGTTGGGTCCATTAGGCAACAGGGTGGGAATTTAATTAATCCAACACCTGTACAATTCGAAAGGGCATTTAAAAAACGTTTTTGTCAAAATTATCTTCATTGCAATTCCATGAATTGTAATGAAGACCTGGACAAGCACTTGCTACAATTAGATGTAAAAAATATTGTCTCTCTGTATCCTGAAATAAATAAAAACACTCAAGAAGCTGTTTTTCTTCCTAATTACAGCTACAGGACAAGATATAATAGTTCAAAATCCATTTAAATATGTTTGTGGCTATTTGATCAAAAAAGCTTTAGGCATACATGGATGTGATACATTTATTAAATTTTCAAAAGAATGTGAAGATTTGGATAGTTCACAGATTTTAACATATGATTGCAAATAAAGCACTTATGGAGGCCTAAAAACTCCAAATGAAAAGTTTATTATCTATATATTTAAATTATAAAAAAATGTTATATCTATTTTTAGCAATACCTGTGTAATGTCTGGTATATCCCATAGCTTTTTTTGATATTATGAAAGAAATAGAATTTAATCATCCTTGTCCTAATTTCCCTAACGTATATATCATACAACTGTTTATAAGATTATATATATTATTGTTTAAGTGCTTAAATATTGTATAAATGAAACAAATCAAAAATTAAAAAACAGTTAAAATAATAACACCACAAAATACATTTTTTTGTTTTCTTTTTGCTACTTTACAAGAAATACATATATATTTTGATTAGATGTAGTCAATCAGAACATTTTTAATCAATGGACATAGTGAATCAAAGAACATCTAATTCATTATAATAATTTGGAGGTAGGATTTTTGATTAAGAATGTCCAAAGGTTGCACATGGTACGCTTTCAAAAATGTCTCGTTCATGTTCAATGATAGTCTCAACAGAGGAAGCACTTGGTCGATGTACTAGGGAGAAGATATACATTTGGCTGATGACCTAGATGGATAAAAAATGTGGGAACAGCAGTAGGCAATAAACGTTTACGGTTCAACGTTTTAGAAAAAAAATTCTTCTCAAAATGTTTCTCACACAACCTGTAATTCCGATGAAGACTGTTCACATCTATGTTACTCAAATCTTCCCTATTACAAGCTCTTAACCACATGTTGGCCCTAAAATATAAAAAAGTTGATAACAAATGTTTAGATTGACGGTAGTTCAGAAATTATATATTTTTTACATTATTTTTGTTGAAATTGTAAAAATTGTCCTCAAGACATTTAAATAATAAATATTTGGTTGTCAAATAAATATTTGGTTTTCAAATATAAACATTGAAAGTATTTTCTCAAGACATACCTTTATGGCTCCATGGGAAATGCAAAATAACTTGTCCCTTTGTCTGTTTACTCTGTTTGAGATGGACAAGGGCGATAGACACATCTCTTTTTTTTCTGATCAGGTGCAGAAGCCATTTCAAAAATATCACACAATAAATGAAAAACTAAAATAATAAAAATGTCTCAAAATATACACTGCAAACAAACAAAAATAATGTCATATTTACATCGCATTGACACTATTGACGTTGACGTTTTTGTCGCTTATTTTCGGACATGCGCAGAAAAATATGGACACCTCATAAAAAATGATCTGTCGCTACTGTATTATTCTTTATACTGGGGTAGAATCCCAGTATATATACCAATACAGTAGCGACAGATCATTTTTTATGAGGGGTCCATATTTTTCTGCGCATGTCCGAAAATAAGCGACAAAAACGTCAACGTCAATAGTGTCAATGCGATGTAAATGTAAATAATGTAAATATGTCATTATTTTTGTTGAAAGTCTTTAAGCTTTTCTATAAAAATATATACAGAAGGATGTGTACAGTAGAATGAAGAATTAAACCTTGAATGAAACGACTCACAGGCATTTGTAGTTCTTGTAATTGAAGCTGTTTTTTCTGCCCATATACTTGGAGGAAATGTAGAATTTTCTTCAATATATGTTTCTAATAGGTAATCGGCATACCTATCGAGAACGGCATTTTCTGGTTTACTTGCCATTAAGTCAAACACAAAATAGTCTCCAAGTTCATCGGCGTATTTTGAGACATTTTTATTATTTTAGTTTTTCATTTATTGTGTGATATTTTTGAAATGGCTTCTGCACCTGATCAGAAAAGAAAGAGATGTGTCTATCGCCCTTGTCCACAATCCACATAGAACAACTTGTCTATCTCAAACAGAGTAAACAGACAAAGGGACAAGTTATTTTGCATTTCCCATGGAGCCAGAAAGGTATGTCTTAAGAAAATACTTTCAATTTTTATATTTGAAAACCAAATATTTATTTGACAACCAATTTTTACAATTTCAACAAAAATAATGTAAAAAATATATAATTTCTGAACTACCGTCAATCTAAACATTTGTTATCAACTTTTTTATATTTTAGGGCCAACATGTGGTTAAGAGCTTGTAATAGGGAAGATTTGAGTAACATAGATGTGAACAGTCTTCATCGGAATTACAGGTTGTGTGAGAAACATTTTGAGAAGAATTGTTTTTCTAAAACGTTGAACCGTAAACGTTTATTGCCTACTGCTGTTCCCACTTTT